CCTCTATTCTTTTACTCAGTCCTGTGGCGTTGGTTGTTCAGATTGTGGACTGGTTTACTTAGTTCTTTGCGGGTCGGCAGAACAAAGTATTGCGACGAGTGGTCAACCACGCGTTGGTTGTTGGATTTAGATTGAGGAGTCGTCATTTTTTCAGATCGGCAAAACAAAATATGTCGCCATGCGCTCCTAGCCCGAGCCCTGCGTTGGTTTTTGAGATCGTGAAGTCGCCAGGGTTTTTTTTCGGATCCACAGATCAAAACAGACGGCGGTGTTCTCGATTTTGGGGTTGTAAATTCTTTTTTACGGATCGGTAGAACAAAATACGACGCAGCGCGGCCAATCCTGCTTCGGTCGTTATTTATTCAGCATACAAGAAACGAAATAAGGATACAGGATAAAGTGACGGCGGGCTCAAGTTAGGTAACTTATGTTGGCGCCGCCGCTTATACCAATAAAACTAATATTACTAAACAATGCAAAACACTAACCAAGAATACATGTAAAAAAAAAAGAACAAACAGTCGAATTGATGAAGCGACTGTTTGTTCTTTTTTTTACATGTACCGCTACGGGGAAGTCTAGCCCAGGCTAGGGGGAGTTTGGCTGGCCCTACAAACGGACAACCCCCTCGGGCTCAACTTAAATAGGCGGGCGAAAGGCTCTTGGCTGCCGAAGAAAAAGGGCTAACGGCCCGATACTAGTTTTGCATCCAGGGTACCGTTACCGGTAATTACGGAGGTTACAGCACGAACGTTTTTCTTGTTGTTTTTCTCATAAAAATCTACAGATTTTAGCTTCATCTTTTAGGAGCAAGGTAGCATACGTACGGGCATTTAAAAACTGGTCAACTTTTTTTATGTACCAGATGAAGTAAATAACACTGAAAGTAATAAACAACGGTAACGGAGGTTACAGTCATTACTGTAACACATTTTGTTCATCGAAGGTGGCTTAAAACGACAGCACACACTCCTTTCCTCTTGTAAGAAAACTTGCAAAAAGTTATGAAATGGCAATTCCCTGTCTTATATGTGACTCTAGCTAAACTTCCCCACTGTCTTACTTGAGCGCGGTAACGGAGGTTACAGAACTTGGCGACGTACAAGAATAGTGACGGGAGCGATCTGACTTGATCCTTCAGAGGACCTGGCATGTACGGCTCAATACGCAGCGTAGTTTGGGGCATGCACAAACCTAGGCTGTTACGTATATCATAAGTTAAAAATGCATCCGTACGGGTATTTTATGAGAAAGAAATTGGGCTTAGCTCTGTGCAGAATAAAACCCTCCCATCTCCATAAAATATAACTTGTTGCTGTTGTCACTGTTAGAAGCACAGTTTTCATGTTTCAAAAATGAAAGATGTCATAGCCCGCAAGTTATTGGGTTGGAAGTCCTATTGAATAAAGTCCAATAACTTTAATGGATACAAAATGAAAAATAGAAAAATCAACGTATCGCACTGTATGAATTTAGGCGCCTTTTCGCCGTGAGCTTCTTTTGTATCGATACCGCCCCTAGATCGCATAGTTGAATTTTAAATGCCGTTTTTCCACTTTCTGGTAGAAAGTACTTTCAAACGATCGCGAATAAATACCTACTGTAAATCTTTTCAGAGGGAGGGTTGTAGATTTAATAAGTGAAGTTGGTAGGATGCATCAAGTACAGTAAAGATAACGAAAAAAAATGGTTAAAAACAAGAAGATGATTCCACTCACCAAGGTATTGCTCAGATGTTGTGTGGAAGATGATCGTTCGTCCGGTGTTTGCGTGTAACTGTAAGTGATTCGTGGCTGGTCGTTCCTCAAGGTTGAACTTGAAGGTAGAAATGGGCACACCTGGAGAAAGCGGCCCCTTATATAGCACTGGCACCGGATGCTATTCAATGCCAATGGTGGCAGAAACTTTGACCATGCCTCCCAGAAGAAAAAAACAAGCGTCATTTATTCATGGCATGCAACAATACGGACCGCGACGCTAAAACTGGCCCGGTTGCTATCAATGGTGGCAGAAACTTT